TGTAGAAGGTAACGCAGAGTGATGAAAAATAAAAATAATAATTTAAGAAAACTAACATTATTATAGTAAACCCCATGTTTTCAAGGAAATTAAATGAAATTTTCTTACTAAATGTAACCATTAATTTTTGCTTCCTCACTACCGAAGGTAGGGAAGCATTGTATTCGTGCGAGAGGTTAAAAAAAAAAATTTGTGCTCAGAATCGAAAATTTTCACTCGCGTTTTACGTTCCAGACATCAAGGATCAATTTTGGTTCGGTGTCAGTCTGTCTGTGGTCAAATCGATGCCAGCCCGCAGGGCTGCTACAAATCCTTAACGAGTACAGACAGATACTCCGTATTGAGTTTGTAAATACGTTTCTATGCATGGATTTCGTCCCGTGTATTGGTATGTAAACATGTAACCATGTAACCATCCAAAAGAGTCTTGAGTTTCGTTCGGAGTGGTAAGCACTATACCATGTTTAAATATTCGTAGGTATCAATTTCCCTATCGGTCTACCAAGATGTTTAAAGTAGATATGGAAGTCAATTCCCTTAGGGTAGATAGAATTTATCAATTTTTGTAGTCAGGTTTTATTAAACAAGGAAGTTTTCAAAAAGTGGTGTATCTGCAGTATAATTAGAATCATAAAAAAGATAACTTGATGCTGCTAAGCTAACGAGTCTCTGACCATTGTCGTTAATTTCTTCATGTATACTTTGCATTTCAATTACATGACGAAATTCACCCTCCCTTCCGATTTGTCCATTTGCAGTCCCCGATTACAATTTTTATGTCAGCTCGAGGACAAACATCCTCGAATTTTTCAAGATCTTATATCTCTCAAGTATATGTATTGAGAATTTTTTTCCGGAGTTTAAATGGTCTAGTTATGCCACGTTTTTAAAGAGAGAGGACGAGAAATGAGAAAATTAAGCAAATTGACACTCGGAACTGTTGGAACCTATCTATTGTAAATGTGAATTTATCTATTGCAGTATTTTTTTAAATTACTTTTAATACAAACATAAGACATTAATGTCGATTGCAGATAATATAAAAAGTATGTGATCTCTCTCCATTAAAATCTTCCACAAATATTAATCATTATATTAATGTTTCATAACATTTAGTACCCAAATATAAACAACAGTAGCCAATATCATGTTCCTTTTGGGATTTCACATGACCTGGACTATCAAGACCCCTGCTTTGGCTTAGAGATCCTTTAAAGATGGTTAAGCAAGGGTTCGGAGTTCCGAGCTGATGTAAATTTGTCAAGGTATGAATAAATTCACAATGAGAAAAAGGAAAGGCCCATTAATGGTTCGTCTATTTATGGAGAATGTTTTGATCCTAACAACAAAAAGAGCAACAGACACTGTTTAAACGAAGGAGCTAACAGCTTATCGTTGCTCACTGGGAGAAGGGGTATGAAAGAGGATGTATAAAAAAAAGATTGCGAATAGTTTGTGAAGCAATGTTTTTAAAATCGGGAGACTATTCGGTGACTTTTTCCTTACTGGTATCGGATGTAGCTTGGTGACGAAATGATTGTAAATAGGTCCGGCTCTTTAGGTTTTTTTGGCGTCCTAGAATAAATAAATTCGTATTGTCCCATCTAATCGTAAATCAAAGTACGGTCATTCCAGCCATTGTCACCACATTTTTCTATTATTATCGTTTGTTTGTTTAAGTGTTTAATAAAATAAAATTTGTCTGATTAGTGAATGCTGTGTTTAAAAATAATATAAGGAGTCTTCCCAATTAAATATTTTGACATTTGGCTTTGTTCATACGATACGTTTCTTGACATTATGAACGTTTCGTTCTACAACACTTCGGTTGAAGGTTTCAATGTCAATCTAAATTTGTGTTCACACTTTTTGATTTTTAATTTGACTGCCGTGACGTATGTTTCCTGCAAAAAAATTTAACCGGTTGTAGGTGCTTCTTCATTCACTCCCATATTGTAATAGTAATCGAAACAGTTTGTCTAAATAAGATTTCAGTTGAAAAAGACTGAAAAATGATAACCGATTTAATTCTTTTCATATATTTTCTTTTGCAAGGTTTCTCATGTTGCAAGGTCTTCACATGTTTCTAATGTAAGGTTTGAACTTATAAAATAAAATTATTATTAATGAACTCACGATATCAAAAACTTCCATTAGTAGCTTCGACTTGGTTTAAAAGAAAAAAAAACTTAGGGGATGTAGGCACTCGTTTTGGTTAACGTTGGAAAACAGAAAATGATTAAAAATCTTCCAAAACTATTCTGTTAAAAAAAGAGGGCTCCTGTTGAAAAGAGTTACAACACACAAAAGGCTGTCCCGCTAGAAAAGGGGTCTTGATGCCTTGTGCCTCGATTTTATATTATTTAATGTAAAACAAGGATATCATAATTTCTCTCTTCACTCTTTCGATTAAGAAAGGAATACGGTCAGATGAGGAATGACGATCATTAAAAGTAGCAACCAGAAGAATGCACTCCCCATCAATTGTTATGACAACAACTGCAATTACAAATGACCGCAACTGAAAAATACACAAATGTGAGGAAAAGTATTCTGACTGCCTCAAAAGAAAATATACTAAAAATGTGGGGAAAAAAAATTCTACCAACTGTTCAATCAAGAGAAACCAACGTAAGAAAAAGACATAGAGCAAGCCGAAGTCCTAGGCTCACTGGAGGTTTTACTACGTTTCTAACTATCCGCTTTCCAAAGGTGGATAGTGGGTTCCAGAAACGGCATTTATGTGTGTTTAATTATATATATCTCTCATATCACAACTGTTTAAAGGTGGGGGAGAAGAGCTTAAAGCCAAGCTATAACAACTAATCCACAAAATATGGGAGAAGAAAAAGATACCAGAGGCTTGGACCACACAGACCTAATCTATCTTATCCTTAAGAATCGCTCGATCTTTGAGTGTAGTAATTACAGAGGAATAGGCACTCCTTTCTGTTGAATTGAAGATAATAGCCAATACCCTACTAAACTGCATATATCCCATTATGATAAAACAATAAGTGACCATCAAGAATTCAGAAGAGGAAGGAGCACGACGCCAGACCACATCTTCATCTTAACACAGATGCTCGAAATATGATTGGAAGAAACTCAGGACGTACAATCATTATTTGTCGATTTTATCCTTATAGTTCCATGGACAAAAACTATATTTGGAAGATCGTGATAGAGCTGAAAGTTCCTGGGAAATTGGTGAGATTTATGTAGGCATATACGAATGATTCTAAATGTGGAGCCCTAATACTAATAGAAATGTCTCACGCTTTCAAAGTTCAAAAAACCTTGCGGCAGAGAGATGTTACATCGCCGTTGCTGTTCAATTTAGCATTGGAGAAGGTGATAAAAACATCATGTGTAAATGGATGAATGTACGTCAATAATGAGATAAATTGAAATATTTTGGCCCCTGAATAACCTCAACGAACGACCAACCATCAGAAATAGACCAGCGTATAACAAGCATAGAGTTGCTTCTTAGTTTGAACATTATTGAAGTCCTGAAAAATATGAGCGTTTTGTGTGTGTGGATGAAACAGAGGTGCCCACCCCTAACAAGATCCTTGCTCAATGTCACATGAACCCTTTCTCCTACCCTTCCTCACAAGATATTTTATTGTTCTCCTCCTCTTATAAACAGTACAAACTAAAGTAGCATTTAAAATATCATAGGTCATATACAATTACACTTCCAGTGGTCTGTTCTATGCTTTCCTCTTGCCCCCGATTTGAAAAATTGTATTCCGAAAATTCATAACCCGAAAAACTCAAAACCACATGAAAATGTGTCTCCCTCAAAAATGTTGATAGTGCAACTTACGCCATGAAACCTCTTCTGGGTAACCCAGGCATGAAAGAGAGGAAGATTGATATAGTCCACTTGCTTCAGACTAAACTGAAATAATACTCTTACTAGATTACATCAACCCTATTGGGGTGTAAATATTAAAAAAATAAATACATGTATATCTTACCGATATTTTTTTCTATATATCGAAAAATATCAGTGTTTCAGTGTAGCAGATCCCGAAATTTTTTATTTTTTTAAGAACAGGGATGTAAATATTAAACATCTATAATCGTTACATCTGTATGTTTTTAATCTTTGGAAGACAGAGGACAGCATGAACATGGAATTGAAATATCACTGTTTTTGATAATGGATGATAAACTATATATAAAAAAAATTCTACCTGTCTGTCCTAAAGATTTGGGTATTTTGATGAGCTGGTGCATATTCAATCAAGCCATTAATTCTGACATGATTGGTAATTAAGTTATGAAATACTTATTGAATTAGCTATAATTGTGGTTTTACTCATCAAGAATGTATGAAGAATTTTATTGACTTTACAGATTAATATAAAACTTTTAGATAACACCTGTACCTACCAATAAAGATAAGAAAATTAAAGTTAAGCAAATCCAACTAATACTATGAATTGCAAAGTCGTAGTTATTATTTTATAAATTAAAATAGCTCATTTTGAAATGATCATACAAATTGTATTCTGTAATACCCAGTTTTTAATCCAAATAATTTACTTAAGTTTTACAACAAAAACTATAAGACAGTCAAGAGAATAATTAAAAGTTTACATCTAAATTCCACTTCTTTATATTTTTATTAACGGACTTTCTTTTATTATTCTGATAAATATTTGAAAAATGCTGAATACTATATGGTTCCAGTTAATCAACAGAGGAACCTTTATTATAAAAGCTGTTAGAAACCCATTAATGAGCAAATCCATACTTCATTCACGACTGTGATAAAATCTTACACCACTCAACTTACTTAATGTTTGAATCCGCTAGTTTATTGAATGTTATATTCTGGCTTCTCTTGGCTATACTATATGTTACTCAATTGGAATACATTACATACTGTAGCAACCAAATTGTATGAATTAAATAATTGTATATAGTATTCAATGTTCATTCATTTAAAATTTAATTCTTTCAAGAGGTAAATAAAGAATCAATATTGATGTACAAATTTAATCCATTATTTACAGATATTATTTTATAATAAAGATAAAGGATGTGCTTCAAAAAGGGATTGGAAAATGCATAGCAAAGAAAACTAAGTAAATTTAACAAGCATATCATTATGATACAAATAAGCAAGACATATACATTTATTTTACTTACATATTTATAGCCCATTTTATGGGTATTCCCCAATAAAAACATCCCGATCACAGGTATTTATATATTTGAAAAACTGGATTTTTTAATATTGTAACCATTATGCTTACATATATATAAGCCAACATTCTTATTATGAAATAATTCTTTACTCCATTTTCTTTTCACTGAAAAGCACGTTTCTAATAGTATTTTGATATTTATTATTCGTTTGCTTCCCAGTAAGCCAAACAAAGCTTAATGTGCACTTCTCCCAAAAAATTTTCCAGTTTTCTGTTTGGTTCCCTCAAGTAAATGAGAATTATTGCAGTAATATTAAGAATGGTTAAATCACAGCACATGGCAGGAAGATAATAAAACATAACTTTAGAGATCTTCACTGTTAACTGAATAACTGAGTTTCTTTAAAATTGTTAAAACAAATAAATGCCAATACAACTTGTTCAAAATAATAGTTATTGTGGTTTAGAACTTATATTATCTCAATTAAAGATTAGAATACTTAAAACTTATAATTTCTAATCCCAAATAAAATTTTAACAAGCATGAAATAATAATTATAGCAGATTTCACATTAATCAAAACTTGGATGACACTAAAGGAAGGCTGAAATCTTACAAATATCTATGCTTGAAATAAATTATAATACTTTTGTAGTTTTAAATAAAATAAAATAATCTCACTATTATATCTAATGATATTCCTAACTACTTAAGATAATATGTTATGTACTTACATACATCAAATAATTAACAATGTTAAAAAAAAACGTTCAAATATAACATTAAAATTCCAAATAGCTTAAATAATAAATATCTTAGACAAATAATAATTTCCTTTATACAGGTTACACTATTTGAAATTATTAAAATAAATCATCTTTTATTCTTCTTATTTTCAATGTTATATGCACTGATATATTTATAAATAATGTTTTTACAATAGTTAAAACTAACATATCTCATTTTGATGTTTACCAAATAAAATTCAGGTTCCTGCCAGTTGTTTATTTTTTTAAATATATATCTTCTTAACTTATAACAAGTTCATAAGTTTTGGTTTATATTGAGCATCAAAGTGACCCTTTCTTTGGAAATGACATAGTATGTTTTCTTTATTATTTTTTTTTTAGTTATTTTTTTTTCAAACTTTTTATCTAATAGATAATGTTCATACATTCTAAGACTCAATGGTCGCAAAAAAAATAGATTTGTATATTTAAATGGTTGGTCATAGTTTAAAATAAAAAGACAGAAAAAAATAGGAGTAAAAAAGAATAACAGAGTGAAATACATATTATGAATCAAGAGTAGTGGGCAAAATGGTCACTACTTCAGGAAAGATGACAAAAAAGATACTCCCTAAAACTTTTAAAAAATATATTAGCTCTTTCAAAATTGAATTTTTAAAGGAATTATAAATATACTTCCTGTGTGATTTTCAAACTTGGACTATTTAAATCATTTTAATTTTCATAAATTATACCTATTTTTATATTACTTTAAAATTTCGGAGAATTAAATCTGGTATAAAAATCTACTTTCTTTTTATTGTAACAAAAAGTATTAGTTTTCTAAATCATATGTTAATCTTATATTATTATAAAAATGCTGATGAGGGAACCATATCGGAACCTTACTAACTACCAATATCTCACAATTTCAATAACCTATTCCCAAGAGAAATGGATCAAATTAAATGTAAAAGGAGAACCAAAACTGATGGTTGGCTAACTAATACTAAAATAAATAATTAGTTCTTAGATTTTAGAAAACAAGAGTGTCCATAATATAATAAAATCATGAAATTAAAAACATAAGACCATTTTGCCCCAAACTTATGGAATATATTCTATTAGTATTGAAGAAACAACATTAATATATATACAATTGGAAAAAAGACACAATTTAAGTTATTTTAGATGGCCACTTGAACAGGAGTTTTTCCTAATATAAAAAATCTAATGTCTATAAATTGTACAATAATTTTAAGAATTATTTCACAGTAAATGTATATTACCAAATTTTGACTCCTTGTATCAAATGTGTTTCTACAGTTCGATGTTAGTAATTTTCTGACTAATTCATTGTAAGTAAATTACTTCTGTGGCCTCTCTAAATTAACATTTTGATGAATTATTAATTTTGAAACTACAGTTTTCCATTGAGATGTGAGATGAAATCACTGAGTAAAATCTTATTAAATATTTCATATTTTCTATGAATAACAGAAATAAATTTCCTAATATTTTACAAGGTAGTAAATATAAAATAAGACTATCATAGAAATATAATACCATTACCAATACCCACTTAAGTCATTAGGATGCAACTGGATATTGTACTTGTAAATTACCTTTTCCAAAGGGGTCAATGTAATATGTTATTATAAGCTATTTAAGGCAAAACATATTAACTATCAAATGTTTACTTTATTATAAAAGAAAAAAATATCACTTGAATGAATTAATCTGTCTGCCTAAATTACTGTATGACACAAATTACCTAATTTATAATTCCTTTGGCAATAGAAAAATTATTATTAAAAGATGTTATTTTAAGTTAGGGTTTAGAGTTTATAAATTTAACTATACATTACAGTCTTTATTTCTATACTTTACAGAGTCTTGGCTTCACAATTTGGTCATGTAGGACTTTTAAAGTGCTACTGCCTACTTGTAGCAAGAATCATTTATACAGTTAGGGATATTGAAAATGTTTAGGTTTAGAGGAATGATAACTATATATCATTTTTTTTTTAAATTTTTACTTAATTATTCATAGATTTTTAATTTTTTTTTTATTATTTATTTACTTTTTTGGTAGGCACATTGGGTAATGATAACTTTAAAGGAGTGCTTGCATTTATACAAGTAGAAATCATTTAGATATCAATTCAATAAAAGCTAAATAATTTGTTTTTTCACTTTAGATTTACCTTTTTGTAATGCTTGGCTAATTTTTTCAGAAAGCAAAAAGCTTAGGGCTTGATAGAATTTAATTCTGATAAGGTTTAATGCACATATAGCCATAAAGCAACAATCAAATTAATTACTGAAATAATAAAAAGTTCAATGTGATATTTAAATACAATGATCAATTTGAGTTACTGTGCATCATTCTCATTTCTTTATATATGTAAATATGACAATTTTGAAGTTGTTTTATATATTTTATAAGCTCACTTCAAACAATTCTTAACCAAGAATCTAAAGTATTTTAAAATATTACATATATACATATTAATAAGCTTTATTGGTGTAAGAAATGTTCATGTGTTTATAAAAATACTAAAAAATTAGAAAATCATGATATACTATCTACTAAGAAAAGAAAGGGGAAAGTATATATGTTTTCCACAGAAAAAAAGTAAAATAACTGAATTATCTGTTTAGTCATTTTTAAGTTAAAACTTTTTGTTCACCTGCCACAATATATTTCTTTTTTGTTTTTAATTAAAGAAAAAAAAGTCAAAGTTATTCAGCCTTTAATAAATATATTGAGAAAATTATTTTTGTAAATTAAATTAAATTTTGGTCCTAAAAATATCTATAAATTGAATCTATTTTCATTTAAATGTTAGGAAAAATACTAAAATGCAGAAGTATAAAACTAAATTCATATATTTCAATAAATAATCATTATAAAACCAAATGAACACATTATTCACAAAAAAGAAACATTTTTCATCAAATTCCTAAATATGAAACCATAAACCAGGAAGAAAAATTAATTTCTGTTACATTGGTTTGGGTTAAATTTGGACAAATGACATCCCTGAGGCACAATATAAAACATTCTTCTTTTCAGTTCCACGGAACAGAATGAAATAATTTATGAAATACAGAAATGTAATTTTTCCAAATATGGCATAATAAACTTTGAAGTAATGGCTACAATATACATATAAATTTTTCTATTAAAAAAAGGTCTTTGAGAAATATATACTTTCATTTTTCTTATTTTCATTTTGATAAGTATGCTTTGTTTCCGCACTTCCTCATTTTTATAGATAATGAGAAATACTTTTTTTAAAAAACAAATATAAATTCTTAAAATTTTGTAATGCTGAACTGGATCAAAATAATAAATACAATATCGTACCAATATTTTAATTAATATTAAATGGCATTGAGCGCTCTCCTTGATGATGCTCGGTGTGGGGAGTGGTAATCATCTGGATCATGTATATGATCTTGTTCCCTAGGATACATATCTCTTGAGTTGTGAGCGTGGTACATCTCTCGAGAGTTATGACCATATATATCCCGATTGGGTGGATATACTTCCCTCGGAGATTCTAAACTGTACTCCTCATATTCAAGCCTCTCCCTTCTACCACGAGAATGAGAAGGATGAAACATTCCTATAAACAAAGATTACAAAGGTTTAATTTTGAAAATAATAAACCAAAAGGAATAAAATAATTAATAAATTATGAAAATTTTATTTAAGTAGCTTTGAAAACCTTGAGGATATAAATATAAAATATTTGATTTGCCAATTCTAAGCTTTCACATAATGTATAATTGAAAAAAAAAATGGTTGAATAACATCATGAGTGCAATTACTGACTGTCTGGTGATTGGTGATTAGTGGTCCAATTTAGTTATGTTTAGTGGGTAAAATGGTGCCCACAGGCATAGTTTGGAAAGAAACACTGGTTTAAGGAAAGAAACACCAAATAATAATTCTTAATTATGTACGAAATATATTAAATTTAAACCATAGGTTAACTGGAATTTTGTGATATTTAAATTTTGTTTTTAATATTAAAGTATAGTTTAAGATAGGAGCAATAAAAAAAGTAATGAAATAAATGGTTTAAATACTCTACACAGTGAAATTTTAATCTGTCTGCTTATAATTGTACTGTAATAGTTAGAAATTCCAAAGGTTATATCTAAACATACATATATTTGTGTATATAATATATATATATATATATATATATATATATATATATATATATATATATATATATATATATATATATATATATATATATATATAAATATCTGTGCAATCAATTTACAATACACTTACAGTTAGTAACATCGCATTAAACTTCACAAGATCAATCAGGATTAATATCAATAGGTATAATCAAGATGCACATTATTTTAAGGCGACATTATGTCTTGATAAACTGCCTTAAAAATAGTTATAATCTTACAAATAATTCTTGAAATAAAGTTCAGTTAATATTCAGGTTTTAACACTACTATTATTTTTTCCTAAAATGAAATATGTGTAACTAACAATTCAAGTGTATATAGATCTTTTAAAATTCATTTTTACTGATACTTTGTCTGGGTTAAATAACAAATAATAAAACAACACTAATGATAATTACAAAAAAAATTATAGAAGTACATTGATTGTTCTGGTACATTGCTTCTTAGCAATTTTTAATATTCTGTGTCCCTCACGTTAAAAAATAATTGTTCTCATATATTTTTTTCTTTTGTTTTAATAATCCACAAGTATACCTCTTAACTACCATTGTTAACTTGGGTTAATGAATTTGCATCAAACTTGATGATTGTACATTGAGATTGCTTGTTCTTACTTGGGTTTCAAGAACTTAAGACAATGTTCTGTTGATTTTTTATAAAGTTCAGAATTATCTTGCACCCCAGAAATGCTATTTTACATCCCTGTTGGGAGCCATTTTTCTTGTGCGGTATAACTGAGCTTGGTTTGGAACAAGCTTATATAAAATCTTATGAGAGTTAATTGACAAACAGTCATTTAAAAAAAAATGTCAACTTATTACTTTTAGGGGCTTCACTGTTCACATTTTAAAAATAAAATAATAACATAAAATTATTTGATGTAATAATGATATATTCCTTGATATATGTCCTGATGATGAAATAGTAATTCTTCCAGTTAAAATTCTGTGAATTAAATTATCATGTCACTGACATGAAATTCTAACGATGTTTATGTAACAATGTAGTTTTAATTTTAATTTTTTTTATCCATAAAACAGGCAAACATTCCCATGCATTTTAATTTGTCTTCAGTATTTCAACTACTTACATCTTCTATGGATTTCGTTACATAAAAGTAGAATATATTAAGAGGTATAAACATGAAACCACTATATATCATTATCTTCCATTTCAACCTGAGATCCATAACGAAATGTTCCAGTCATAGCAGTGACTTGAAGGTCTTTACAAACAAAAATTACAGGTATGCATATAATATAAGTATACTATATAATAATTTAACATAATGTAGAAATACGTATATAGATATATTTCTTGATTCATGAATAGAAAAATAATTAAACAATGTAAGATATTTAAAAAAATATTTCTTGACTTACCTCGAGATTCAGCATAGCCGTAGTCATCGTTCACACCTATAAAGAATACAAAAAATTTAGATCATTTGTATACCACAATTGTCATATTTTAATTACATTACTAAAATTCCAAAGCCTTTCTATCAGTGCGTGGGTCTGTTTTATTAATATATACGCCACACAGGGGGATATGCCACATTTTTCATTAGTTCGGAGGACAACCACAAATGCTGGTTGGTAAACTTTATTGGTAAAGATAATTTTAATATAAGAATTAAAAAACATAAAAAAGAAAAAAAAAATTCGAACATTGAAAATAAAAAAGTGAGACAAAACTAAACTAAAACACATTTTCAAGAACAGTAAATGATTTAATTTTATCATTAGATTTTGTGAATATTATTTTAAATATATATTTTATATAAAATAGGCATTTCTTTCTATTTATTATAAACTTGATGATTTGTTGTCTTTCTTTATTGAAATTAAAATGCTTTATTGGTTCATTGCACTTTTAACACCTTTAATATTCCTTGCCTTCCCCCAACAAATTTCAACATATTTGTAGATATATTTAATGGCAATAAATCTGCGAACATTTTAAAGTAGAAAATCCAGAATTATACAAAAATTAAGACCTACGAGGTTTTATATTATAAAATCAAAGCTAATAAACACAAGTGGATTTCTAAGTACTATATCATTTTTATGGTGGATTATTGCACTTACATTTTTAATGACTAATATGTAAAAGATTTATACCAGAGGTTAATTATTATTTTTGGCTTGCATTTGAAAAACAAGCTAAGATATCTTGAAATCTAAAAAAAATGAATAAAGATATCTTAAAATGAAAGAAAATTACATGAGGTAGCAGGCAAGCTAAGAACTTTGGTGGAGGTGAGATGAGAGCATACCCCCACCACGATGCTAAAGGCTTGAGGGCAAATGGGACCTCCATCTTTCCTAATTGTTCTCTGATACAATTTTCCTGGGATGAATCAAAAGTGTCACCATATTTTACATTACAGTACTTCTTGCTACCCTTTACCCATATCATTTCTGTAATGATTTTTTAAGCAGCTGTAATCATAAAATCGATAGTAACTATCATTAATCTGGCTTTTTGAAAATTTGCCAGATGATTATTGGGTTTGACCTCAGGGAATCCTTAACTGGAGTGATCATTCTACCATAAATGATCCCATCTAGTATCTGGGGTCCCTTTACTCTGTGTCAAGAGCACAAGATATTGCTATTTTTTACTATTCTGGAAAGATTCCTGTATCTCCAACTGAGAAGAATACATTTTTTCAAGTGAAAAGAGTCTCTTAAATAAAGTGGCCTTTTAAAACTAAAAATAGCTAATCAACCAACTTTGTAAGTCATCCAGAAACATGGTACTTCAATGCCTCTATACTACACACATTGTACCACAAGATAGATACTCTTCTCACCAATTTTTTGCCAACAGAGGTCCTGGGCACAACTACAGTATAATTAATGCATATAATTTTTTACAAGTTGGTAACTTAAAATCTTTTTATTTGAAAATCATGCTTTTGGTATATTTAATTGATTATGAATGCAATGAGTTTTTTTTGAAGAGTTTTTTATAGTCGACTGTTCTACATATCATGGGTGAATTTAGGACGCAGCCATTATAAGATTTTTATTAGTGATGACGTTTCAACCCAAACATGTGGGTCATCATCAGGGGGTGGTTTGAGCAATATCTTGAATATCTTCAGTGCTCGAACCATGCGCTGATGATGACCCACATGTTTGGATTGAAACGTTGGCACTAATAAAAACCTTATAATGACTGCGTCCTGAATATTTATCACCCGTAATGAGTTTTTGTTGTTAAGTATATGTATTAAACATTTATTGTTAATTATTTAAAAAATAACGATTTAGGGTTTAGTTTTGAAGAATCCTCTACAGCTTCTACAACTTACTAATAAACAGAGTTACCAAATCCATCAGCCTTATCTCTGTGGTATCTTCCTTTAGTACTAGCCAGCACAATTCGGTGGTCCAATCTTTCCTCTTTAATGGATAATTCTCTTTCCCAAATCCCAAAATTCACTTTTCTTTTCTTTACTTGAAGTATTGGCTGCAAGAGGTGCCCAGAAGAGGTTTTATGGAGTAAGTTAATGAGGGGGGCACTTTTTGACGGGGTTTATAATTTTTGATGGGGGCTCATTTCGAAGTGGTTATGAATTTTCAAAATGAAAAGTTTCCAATCAAAAGACAATTGGAATCATGGAAAAGACCACAGGTTGTATAATGGTAAATAATCTGCGAATATTCGAATTATACATTCCCTCGAGAGAGGGGGGTGGTGAGGGCTTTCGGGCTGAAGTCCTCCCAAAATGGTAGAATATAACCATGTTTCATAGGAAAAAATATTAAAAACTATCTCTTAATGTATTATTGTTCATGTAATTACATTTAATAAATAATAAAATTTCAAGAATCACTTAAAAACCATGTCAAACAGGTAGTTAGTTTCTTTCTTCTTTTTTTTTAAAATTAATTATCATTATATAAATGAAAACAAAAGCTTTCGGGCCGAAGCTCCCCAAAAATTAAATCCTGGATCCGCTAGTGTCCATGAGGATCCGGTTTCACTGATAATATGGCATATTTTAATTGGTAGTTTTTCAAATATAAGTCTGTAAATCTTTCCATACTATCTTTCATGACGCTTGCTGTATTAAAGCAGGAATAACACTATTTGATTAAAAAAAATCAAGAAAAATTGAATTATTAAAAATTTGAAAATAGTGTACTATCTATTAAAATATATGAGTATTTTTTTTTTAATAATTATTAAATTACTCAATTTAATAAGATTAAGTCAAGTTTTTGTTTTGATACTCATTCATTTATTCATTCATTGCTTGGCTCTATAGTCCTTGAAGAACCATGGTCTCTGGTAATGTCTTCTTCCACATCTTCATGTCAGCTACGAAATGTCTCCACTGCTTCATATCTATCTCCTTCATGTTGTCTTCCATATCATCCAACTATCTGAGCTAAGGCTTTCCCTATCTTTTTCCATCCCCTTTTTCTTGAGATCAGTTTTCTTACCATTCTTTTCTGATTCATCCTTTCCACATGGGCCAACCATCGCAGTCTCTTGAGTTGAATGTTTCTGATGATATCTTGTTCACCATATAGCTTCTTTAGTTCTAGGTTGGATCAAATTCTCCATTGGTCCTCCACTTTGATTTACTCATACATTTTTTGGAGTACTTTTCTTTTCCATATGTGGGGAATCTTTTTGCTTTCTTTAGCCATGGACTATGTCATGTTTCTATAGGTCATAACAGGTCTCATAATCATTTTATATATTAGAATTGTCTTTCTGGACAGATTTTTGCAATTCAGCAATTTCTGTACACTGTACCGACATCGATTATGTACTTCTATACAAGCCTACATATCTATATATATATATCTATATATATATATCTATATATATATATCTATATATCTGTTTCTACTGGGTACTTGTAAATGATTGTGCTACCCAAATGAAGATTTAATATTAATCTTATACAATACAAATAGATAAATCAAGATGATGCTTTTTAAAAGACAAATTATGAAACTATGAATCTCACAGTAAAAGAAAATTGAGAGAAAATGAATGAAGAAACGAAAAGTGAAAGAAAATTAAGTATTTAAATTTTTATAAGGGTTATTTCTGAGTTGTCCAGACACAAAGATTAAACTCAGGTTAGACGACAAGTAAGAGAAAAAGGATGGAAGCATTCATTTCCTTTTTTAGTTGTCAAAAAACAGTTTTCGCAGGCAGATATTAGAATATCTTCAAAAGCAACAGTACCTATTTTCATTTGAAACCAAAAATCTTTAAAAAAAAATACATTGTTGCTAAATTTTCAATGGGTCATTATTTTCCTATGATAGAGAATGACTGATATAGCACAAAAATATAAATCTTTCAAATGACATTAACACATTAATAATGTCACTGCAACATGGACGCAAATACTGTCACTTGAAAATACTGACCGAAAAATTAGAATAGATTATTTTAAATATAAAAGCAAGAATGAAAATAATGCAGGATGTGCCTAGTAGACACTCATGGTAGATTGAGAATAAAGAATTCAAGTAATCAAGCAGAGAAGCTTTCTCAGTTCTTAAAGCTTCTAAAGATCTCTTTCAGTATAAAACAGACACATATGCAGGTATGAATATTCACACAGAAAATAAGAACATTTCCCTTCAAGACCTTGATGCATTTAATGAGAAATTTAGACTAAATCACACAATAAAAGTAAATAGAATAAAAATAGTGTGGATTAGTGACTACCGAAAATAAAGGGAGAGTGGTCAATCTGGCTAAATCAGTGATTAAAAGAGAACTTCTTCTATTATATAATAAGTTCCTTATATCCTACATTCGAACAGATATGAGAAAGGACATGAGAGTGAAACGGAACCATGACTGAATTGCTTTATTAAGATCACTAAGCCTTCCTTTGAAACTATAGTCACTCACCACCATTATAAAAACATACTCAGAATTAAACAATTTTTAAACACTAGCAAGCTAAACCATATTTAACATGTTTAAACATACAACACAAGTGCCCAAATGGACAAATATAAAATTTTTAACATTTAATATTTGACTGATATATAAATTTGTATTTATATAAGGAACTTAGCCAGAAATAGAACAAATACTTAAAGAAATTAAAATTTTATTTCTTACAATTTATTATAGGAATCAAAAAGCTGAATTTTGGTTGTAGGAAGGTAGTTTAATTTAGTTCAGCTCAGCATATCTTGCTGTGCTCTGTAGATTTTGTTAATATTATTATTTATATTACTTTCTTCTTCTCTTTATTTCTTTTAATTTTATAATTATTACTATTATTATTTTATTTCTTTATTTTTTTTTATTGATTTACTAATTCAATCTGGATACAATTAATAATGAAAATGATGTAATTTTAATTTATCTTTATATATAATTCAGTAGTATTTCACAGTGTTGATCTCCTTTCTGACTCTCAGAATGGATTTTGATGAATGAGGTATCAAACAAAAGGGGATTTCATAGTCATATTCTCCTGAAATTTCAGGGAACAAGTCATGAATGAAAAGAAACTTTATTTGTGAATGATTAAAAATATATACAATTTTATGTTTACATCCATGATTACCTCAAAGTAGACCTAGGCATAATTTAGATCTTGAAATAATTTATTTTTGAAATAAATCATATGATTATTTCATTAATGAATATTGTGGTCAGGAAATAAAACGGAACAAAAGGAAAAATTAAATTTTTGTGGGGTACATTCAGCTTCTATAATGACTAAAGTGTCACAAACAGGAGTTAATATAATGCCTCAAGTCCATCTGATTGCAGGAAATAAAGCGGAACAAAAGGAAAAATTAAATTTTTGTGGGGTACATTCAGCTTCTATAATGACTAAAGTGTCACAAACAGAAGTTAATATAATGCCTCAAGTCCATTTAATTGTAAAAAACCTCTATAGAGACTAAAGTGTCTTAAACAGCTGTAAATGTAAGTCTGTCTAATTGCAGGAAATAAATGGGAACATAAAAATGAAACTTCTATTGGGCACACTTAGCCTCTATTGACATTAAAGTGTCTCAAACAGGAGTAAATATAATGCCTAAAGTCCTAATTGCAGAAAACAAAATGAGCCTAAACGAAAACTAAATTTAGAATGAACAATAGGATTTTTATTATGGTCATTTCATTTCCTTATGCATCTATCAGAATAATTATTTCTGAAATAATAATTTCAAAAATAATCATGACATTAATTCTGAAATAATTTATTTCCGAAATAATTATTTCGGAAATAATGCTTAAGTTATTTCATGATAATAATAATTATTTTGGCAATAACTGGGGAAGGTTATTTAACAATTTATTTCCGAAATATCATTTCAAATAAATTCTGCCCAGGTATACCTGAAAGATTACTAAATTCTCTAAAAAACAAAAAACAAAAAATTAAATCATCGAAATTGATTAGAAATTTGTACATTTGAAACAATTTGATCCAGTCGAATGAGGAAAGTGGGTTCAAATGTTTTTTTGAAGGAGAAATATAGTTGAGATTTGTATTTTGCACCTCGAAATACCCTCAAAAAGGAATTCCATATCAATCAAGAAATAAAAAATTTTACTTGAAATTTTCACAAAGGCATTTTCACCTTGATTGCAACAATGATTATTTGAAAAATGACTAAATTACTTTTAAAAAAGAAAAAGAAATTGTAATTGGATCATTATTAGTAAAGCAACTGCTTATTAATGTACACATGTTTTGGTTTGTTATTATGAATGAACTAATGTGATTTGGCTGAAGAAAAAGAAAATTATTCTCTCTAGCTCATAATACATTGTATTAACTTATTTCTATATTATCTTGTCAAATGTTATCTGACCTATATACTATGCAAATTATTTGAACGGGTCAACTAGTATTATATATTATAGGTAATGTTAATAGGTATGGGATATGTAAACTATTACTCAATAAATTATCATTATATATGATTGCCATAGGAATAAATATACAAAAAATCTAATACTTTATATGTGTAAATTAGTATCTATGTAGCTTTATTAATAAAAGTTTACCTGTTGGTGAAAGTGTAACACGACCAGCATGATCAGCCGAAGGAGATATCTGGGGAGAAGGCTGTGGTCTTGGGACAGGAGTGGTTGTGGGTGGAGTTATTGGTGGATGGGTAGCTCTCCAATAAGCTTCCAAGTATTCTGCTATGTGCTCACAGGCCTCATCTAACTGATTTTCATCTAGAACCACATCAAACATTTCAGGTGGGCATTGGGCCAATTTCTCAGCAGCCACCATTTGAACATTTAAGTGCCGAGCTTGAGACTTCCCCCTTGATTTTATTAGTCGCTGCAGAACCTGAAAGTGAAGATATAATAATGAAGGCTGAATGGAATTAGATACACAAACAGATGTAACAATTTAAGTTTTAAATTTCAAGTAAGAAGGCATTAAGTAAAGGAAGGCATTATTAGCTTGTTGAGATTCGGGGGGAGGGAGAGAGGAATTTAAATCTATGTAGTAAGTGGGATTTAAATATGATTTTTAAAAGCTAAACTTCACTTAATCAATGCTCTTGAACATTATTATTTCTTTTTTTAAAGTTATTTTTATTTGGCCAATTGAAATAGAAGCTGGAACATCAAAATTCCTTAGAAACTCAGTTATCAAATCATAGATATATATATCAAGAATAGCTTTACCTACAAGAAATAAATTAAATTTAATTGATTGATAAACAATTAAGCATAGATAGATAGAAAGAATGTTTATTATTAATCAGATAACAATGTTTTTTTTTAATATAGATGACATGGAGTATTTTCTGTCCGTCGGGTCGTCACCTTTCATGTTTAATTATACTACATGTTAAATTATCTTTTTTTTTTTTAATTTTGTTTTCCAAGTTACAAATACATTACATAATAATTATTATACAAAAAAGATTGAGAAAACATATCACTCAACGATAATACCAACTACTACTTAATGACAACAACAAATATATTACTAAGTGTTTGTATTTATACTAATTATAATTAAATTAAATTATAATTTTTGAATGAAGTACCTATTGAATTTCTCTACCTCCTCCACATATGCAAAGCCCCAAACTTGGGCCACATAGCTTACAAGTGAATTGATAGCAACATTATAAATGGACACTTTCTTGTCTAGAGGTATTTATTTTGTCATTATGATTCCACCCCATATACTATTCAATGCTAGCTTGACATTTGATATCTTCTTGCTCATATGAGGTTATGAGGGAAAATGAGGTTATGAGAGTGACACAGTTTTTATTTTTTCAGTTTTATCGAAAAAAACACTCTTCAGACTTTTTTGGCTTGCCCGGGTGCTTTTTACAGACTATCACTTTTGATTTGCCCATATTTACTATTAGGTCCCATTTATTGCAATATGTCTCTAGACTATTGATTATTTTTTGTAGAGTTAATGGACATGAGGCAAGTAATACAATATCTTCATCATACATTGATAGTTTGATAGTTTTACCCTGAACACTAATACCGCCATCCAATTCATCTTCAACAGCATTAATGTACAGGGAGAAAAGTGTTGGGCTTAGTAAGCATCCCTTTATCTCATTTTGGTTTTGAAAACTTTGTGTTATTGAGAATGAAATTTTGTGCATCTGTTTTCCCTACTACTTGTTACTTTCAGAAACCAGCCATTAAAATAAAATATTTTTGCCTAGCAAACAATGATAATGTATATATTCTAAATGTGTGATTTTATCCAGCTCTATTGCTGGATTGTGTTCGCATAATGTTCATGAAATAAGAATTTAATAATAAAATAAAATAGGCTCTACATAGCTATGATTATTCAGAAAAAAAAATTGTAAGGAATTAGTTAACTTCAATTATTTTTTCCATTAAATCATATCTCAGGGATTTACTATGATGGATCTCAGCTATGCTTAATAATTTCTCTAAATATATTATTATGCCAATTTATAAAAAAGGAGAGATCAAAACTGTAAAGAACTACAGAGGCATCTCATTGATCAACACCATTGCAAACATTTATTCCGGCTTAATCCTTTATTAGGCTTACCCAATGGACATTAACCAATGATATAATTAATGAATGCCAAGCCGACTTCAGTCCCGGCTACAGTACAGTAGATAATATTTTTACTTTATTCAATATAATAAATATAAAATTTTATTCTAATAAAAAATTTTACTAGGTTTTCGTGAATTTTGAATCAGTTTTTGACAAAACAAATAGAAATAGTCTTTTTTATAAATTACTAATACTACATTTACTGACCTACATACTTGATACATTAAGATGCGTGTACAATAAAACTGAATCTGTGTTTTGGACTGCAAATGGAATAACATAAAGTTTGCAAAACCAAAATGGGGTAAAGTAGGGATGCTTACTAAGCCCAACACTTTTCTGCTTGTACATTAATGATCTTAAAGACGAATTGGATGGCGTTATTAGTGTTCAGGGTAAAACTGTCAAGCCATACGTAAACACATTACGTTTTTAAAATGCATTTAATAAGTTCTAAGTCACATTGAATAATTAAATCTCTGGAATTTATTAGATGACAGTAGAAAGATATTATAAGATGAAAAAGTTCCTTGAAAAATATGGTCACCATTTTACCAATAGTCACGGTCCTTGAAGACTTCACAAAATAATTTTATTACAATATTTGTTATTAATTAATTTATCAAATATAAATATAAATAATTTATAAAGTTTTTAGTAGAATTAAATACAATTGCACTAAAGAAACTTGTGTCTTCTGGCTTTCTTAGACTTGAGTCTGCACTACTGTGTTGGTAGGTATAATATTCCTGACTGTACATTGTACATTAATTTGCGAATTTTGTAAACTCGGGAGTACATCGAGAAAACAGGAAGTCTTGGAATGATAAGCCAATTAAGAATAATTCCATAAACAATTGATATTTATTGTAAAAATCTTCTTAATTAAAAAAAAACAAAATTTCTTTGGCAACAAGAAAGGAATCTTTTGACCAACAAAAAAAATGCAGCAACTGAAGGATGTTCAGCCATGATTATTAACTAAGAAAACTGAATATTTTTAACGACACCTGAAGAATAAAGCTTAATGCCCTTAGAATAACTGCTCTGCTATTAGAACTGTCTCCCTTAAATTTATTACCAGATTGAGCTATGCTTCTCTAAAATTCCATTATTGAAAAATTAATTTAGTTTGAAGTAAAACAAGTATACCTTAGGAGATGATATCTTCAAATAAACTATGGTTGGAGCTAAAGAAGTCTTGGCTAATTGAGAAGGATGGTTTATTGTATCACAGTCTAGGACAACAAGCTGTAAAAATAAAAATTGATGAAATTAAAATAATTTTGTAATCATTAAATTAATTAAAAATACTGGAAGCTAATTTTAAAATCATTTATTAGATTCTCATTTCCATGTATATTACCACAATGTACATTACATTTAATGAATAGGTTACTCAGTCAGTTTTTTGTGATTGGGTTGTTATAAAATATTATTAATACAATATTTTATCATTTATTATAAAATTACAATATGGCTTTATATTGAGAACAACATAATTAATAAATCACAGAAATCTTACCATTAGTTTTTTTAATATAAATAAATCTTTTTTTTTTTTTTATCTTTATGTTAAACGAAAGAATTGTAGCAAAAGGTTTTCTCTCTTGAAAGAAAGCCATTCCCGAATAGCATATTACACTATTTGGTAATAGAGTATTAAATAAGAAATTCTATAATAAAGTGTGGAATTAATTAAAGATTTTTTTTTATAGATCTTTTTTTAGATTAATATAGATTTATAAAAAAGACAACAATAGATTATAAAAATAGAAATGAATATCATTTACTCACGACAACAATATAATATAATTGAAAAAATATCGAAACTTTTACAAGATATTGTCATTTAAATATATTTCTGCCAAATAATGTGCCATAGAAAATACACTAAGATCATTAGATGCCATTAACATATATGAAGGAGTTTTTAAAAAAAATTGATAACATAATATGAAATTAAAAGAAATGATTCTTGAAAAGATACAGCTTCTTTGGTATTCATTCAGAGAAGTTCATACAAATCAAAGAAATTAAAGTAACAGTTATTTAGCTGGGAAAGGATTTAATTGTCAGATGAATTTGCATTATATTCAAGATTCCTCCAGGAAGCTAAAAACAATAAATGCAATATTTTCTTTAACAAATAAAAGGTTATATTTTGGTTTTTAAATTTATTAAAAGGAAATATTGATACTACAACATATCAGAACTACGCTATTGATGGCAAGATATTTGATAAAGAAAATCCTTTAGTGTGACTGTTGTCATGTGTAATAGTGATAAATTTTAGTATAGAATGTACACTCTTTAAATAAACTGGTTTTAGTGCAATATTTTTAAATTTATAAATCTCTAATAAACAATAAAGAAAATTTATAGAAATATAAACAAATCCATGTATATATACACTTACTTGCAACGTCCTTGCTAGCTCGAAAATTCTTTCAATTTCTGCTTGTACTTCAGCCAAGCACGTTGACCTAGAATTTGACCTTTCCATTATTGCTCTCTTAGATGGGTTATTCAACAATGAACGTTTGGCTAGTGATATGTCAGCCATGACTCTGGTTATTATGATTCTGTAATAGAAAATAACAAATGTGGTTATAATATTAACTCTCCTCAAATGCCATTAAAATATATTATTCTAGCCTTAATTTGTTGATAGTAAATAGGTATTTAACTTTTATTGTTGTCAAAAAAGTTGTGGTAGGTATCACAAATAACAAAAATAACTTATATTTTATATTATACCTATTTTAACAATATAATTTAAAATAATAATGAATTATATTACAACAAACAAAACCAATCAAAAGATTTAAATAATTTACTAATGAATAAATTTAAAAAAAAAATAAACTATATAAATTTTACAGTTCATCATTTTAATAATTTGAGTTTAGGTTTGGATTAATCATCATAATTTATTTGAAATGTATTAAAAGTTTCATAAACCACTATATAGCAAGTAGAAAAAATATGCTTTGATCATAGCTAGATTAATAGTTCTTTAAAAAAAAAAAAATGTTCTCCTATTGAATAAATTGAATATTCATGAAGTGTTATTAGCAGCCTAAAGATGGCAGGAAGAACTATTCATCTAGAAGACATAGTAAAATTGATTGGAAATGAGATTTGGTCTAGTTAGAAATATGCTCTTCCACTTCTTGCTACTGAGGAACTGAATTGAATCATAGAAGTAGTCCACAGATTTCAGGATGATTATACGCCTATAGCATATTTTATGTTCCTTTAATAAAAGAAACATTTCTATTTGACAGGAACCAACCAATAAATGGCAAGCGTTTGAAAATGAATGAATTTAGAATTTAATAGAATATCCAATTCAATAAATTTGAAATAAATAAGCAATAATACGACTTGAAATATAACTCTTTCTTTCTCATACAAATAGGATGTATGTACTCCTGTAATCAAAAAATGTTTGGCAATAAATCCAGAAAATCGGAGATTTGCAAAAGAAATGGTTCTGTCTTCTGAGAATGAGTATTTTAATGATTACATCTGGTTTTATGATTAATATCTTCAATGGTTCCATACAGTCGAAAATTTTTCCAATTTCTCTTAAATTAGTTAATTATAAAGCAGAAGGTGATCGATAGAAATACTACGATAACATATACCTAAGATATTACGATAATACATACCTTCCTTCAAATCTGTGCTTGAGGAAATCGAAAAGAGCTTTTTGCATCATGTCTGTGACCTCATATCCTTTGAGTGAAGGTCCAACAAGCACCACAGGCCGCATTGATGGAACAACATCATAAGGTGTTGTTGTTTCCTGTTTCTTGAAGAACGGTTTCCGCTTCTCTTTAGCTGGTGGGGTGGTGAGGGTAGCCTTTCCCTGGAGCCTAGCGTTTCCAAGTGAATCTGAATCTTCACCTGGTTTTGAAAAAGCATTATTCCAATCCATAAAAATTTAACTCTGTCAATCTTGAAGTTACCAACTTATGGCGTCCAAATGGTAATAATTAACCATATTTTTATAAATCTTATTTAAAATTCTTTGAGTGCTGATGAATGTTAAATATTCATTACTGAAGGGAAATCAGAATAACTTATTTTTATAAAGGAGGAAATAAAAATTTATGCAATAATCAACTTAGGAAAACTTAAAAATCTTTTTCTAACTACTTCTATAATTGTACATCTTACACTAGAGTAATTCTACCTTCAAGGAATAGCTGGAGAATGGTTTTATCAGACAAGGGAGTGCTATGATGATAGGCTCGGAAGGGAGTTATGTGCACATACAAAAAAAAATTTGGGAACTGATACTTTAACATTTAAAAACAAAAACTAAATAACATCCAACAATGAATAAAAATTAAAATAAATTCTAAAAAAATAAATATGTATGTTTTCATGTACTATCTCATATTCTAGAAATAAACATAAAAAGCTCACACATAAATAATTGAGTCGGGTATTGCAAAAATGGTGTAATGTTTCCAATAAAAAACAAATTCAATGTAAAAAAAAATAAAGCAATCCATTTAAAATTCAAATTTAAAAAACAAAAAACAAAAGAAAACACCAAAATATCACAACAATGACAAACAAAAAAGGTGAAAAAAGTGTGAGGGTTTACCAGGGGTGGGAGGGGTGGAGCCACGAGAGTTGGCGCTCTTTGAAGAAGAGAGAACATCATTTGCTAGCGCACCTAGATTACTCGAGGAAGAGGTTTTCGAGGGGTAGAGTTTGGAGTTCCGGGCCTGAGTCTGCTGTAGCCGCAGGTTCTCAAGCTTCACTGGCGAAGGAATAAAGCCTACGTCACAACCTTCTTTCACCAGTCGTCCGATCCACCAATTGTTATCATACTTTTCCTAAAAAGAAAAAAAAAAAGATGAATATTTTTAACGACATACTAGTTACTTAGCGAAAAAAACTGATTAAGAATACCTTGATATGTAAGAAATCTCTAACTTCAAAAGAAACTGCGCTTCCGTGGACAGGAGAGTCATCATCCAGCGAACCATCGTAGCATACATTAGTCCTCACAGAGAATGCTACGGGCTTTGACTGAATATAAACAATAAATATGTGTCAAGCACTCCTGAAATTTATACGTACTTATATGCAATGCTGCATATCAATAATAATGAAAAGCAGCAATTATAATTAATTAATTAAATTTAGTATAATAAATTGCAATAATATGTGCATATATGAATATATATAGTTATGTAGGATGTATAGTCTATTAACCATTAGTGGGCCATAGGTCAGGAGGTGATTCCACACCTCATTGCAATAAACAAGTTTAAATAGACTATGATCAGGCTCCACACAGATAAGCAGTAAATTCTTTTTTTTAATGTCATGTTTTTTGTTGAATAGGATATGGTAACTAACTAATTATTTAATTTAGAAAAAGTATAGTTTTAGAAAAACTTTCTTTAAGTCTATATTTATTAAGTTAAGGATTGTTATAGAATAAGACACGAGTGGCTTTTTAAAAAAGTCAAGTGATGTAAAACTTAGTTTCCACAATTGTACAGACAATCTATACCTTGTAACTTTTATTTTTTAAAATAAAAACTGTATTTATTGTTCCCATAATTAGAAAATACCAAAAATAAATGTATAATAAGAATTATATAATAATTACAGAATTTTCAATAGGAGGAGGTATACAATTTTATTAACAACAGTCTATGCCTATCCTCTGCATAGTAGTCTATCTCTTTTACTAATCTTATTGCCTATAAAAGGAAAATGTCATTCATATAAGTAAAAGAAACTTTAACTACTTATTGTTCTTTGATACAAATGAACAACAAAGTCTGGTGGTTACGAAATTTCTTTTCCTATCATATACCTCAAGAAAGTAGTCAAAATTTATAGAACTGATTTCCTTTGCTCTAAATTTGAAATTGGAATCCAAATTCCAAAATTTTGTGTAAAAAAAACTGTAAAATGTTATTCACTGATAGGATAAATTTCTGAAATGTTGGTCAGTATTATTTGTAGCATTGTGGTTTGCTACCTGCACAAGTTAACTTTTTAGTGAATATATATTTTAGCTGTTTTCAATTGATATTTAAAAAAAATTAAAATGGAACAATACCATTTTGTCAATAGACACCTCATGTATTCTCAAATTAAAGATTCTCCCAGCCTGGTAAGAAATGTTTCTTTCTTTGAAGAATGCTTTCTAAATATTGGAAAGAAAGTCCTCTGACTTCTGGATTAACTTTATTTGGCTTCAAAAGATAATCCAATAATTACTTTGTTCACTCCTTTCATCTTTTTAATAGAAATTTGAAGTATTTTTAGAAAAAATAAAAAATAATGCAGTGAACAAAAATATGGTTGAATTGGATTTACAAGTTGCATTCCTTCTGTTAAGCTTCACCTTAGGAAATTATTTTGGAGTTATGAAATAAATCTCTCTGCTAAGTTATTTTATTCTATCATCTTTTGGTGCAATATTTTTTTTTGGTTTGAATAACAGCATTTTTGTTTAATTTTTGGACCAGAAGCAGACATATGCTTTAATATACTCTTTTTTTTCTTTTGTTTAAATTCTAATTCTTTCTGCACTCAATTATTCCAGTGTCCTCATTTATTGATCAGAAAATCTTCGAGATTTTGCTATATGTTATAAAATAAAAATACACATTTGTTATGATAAGAAGTAAATACCTAATAAAAATGAGGTAGGCATACATGGTTTTGTAATACATTTATTATTGAATGTTTATTGTAATTTCTAGAAGGGCCAATAAGACTAATTGTAAGTAATACTTTTCTCTGAGTAGGGCCACATTCTCTTTACAATTATAAGGACAAATGACATTCGCGAATCAATTCACACAAACGAATTAGACCTACGGCAGTTTAACTCAAAATGTAATATATAGTTTTCAGATGTTCTTTCTACTCTAATGAACCATAAACTAACTATAGACTCTAAGAGATTCACCACTCTCTTTGAATCCATCATTTGGAGGATAGTCAGTGTTAAATTTGGGGATAATATGGAAAAGGTAGTGGTTAACCTGTTGTAGTTTGAATTAAATCACACTTCTCACTGATGTGAAGTACTTTATGTTGTTTTTTAAAACGTGTTTTTATTAACTTAACACTAAATATTTGTAATTGACAGAATAACAAGTGAAATTTAAGTGGAAAAACAAAATTTTCATCACTGAAAACAATTGACTTGGAAAAATAGTCTTCAGTTTGATTGGACAATTGCATACATACGCGGTGTGTTTTAAATCATTAAAAAATCCTGCAGTACTTCAACATAAACATATCAGACATAAACTAATTTCAATTCAACATAAACTAATTTCAGACAAAATCTTTATTTTCATATTTAAAAGTCATCTGGTGTTGGCCAATTTGAAAATAAAGCTACACTGAAAATATAACTATGTAGCTCAGGTAAGAGGCAATAAATATTTCAAAATGGCCTGTTTTACATTTTGAGAAAAAACAAAACAACAAAGTTAATCAGCGCAACAAATTGTACCAGTCTCATGATCAAATTATTCGATAATAGTTTAAATATATCAGGATTTGGGACTACAAATGGCCAATATACTTAAATTGAAACATATCTCGAAACTATAACAAGATAGAATGTATTCTTAATAGAAAACTTAATATAAAACTGTGCAGCAGAAACTAGGTGAGGGCATTCCAAGTCCCCTCCTCTCTTTATTGTTCATTGTATTTTGGATAGTGTTCAAAAGATGCAAAACAGAATGATTTGGCAACTAAAGAGTTCACTTGTGTTTTGTTGTTCGATTTTCTAAACCAACTCCATGAAAGTATTTCAGGGGCTGCTGAAAAGAGGGTTTTCTATAAATACCTTGCGTTTGAAATATACGATAATTTATAGTAAAAGGGATCTATGAAACTTTATTTGTTGATGAGTTTCTTATTGAACTTCAATATAAAATATAAAAAAACTACTCTACGTTTTTGTGAAATTGTGTTTTATAAATTACATCCAATTTTGTCCAAAACTTTTTATTTCTCAATAAAATTCATGGTTCTATCTATATCGAATAATGATTTAGAAGAGCATATAGGGCTTTGTGTGCGGGTCGAAGCCAATTATAGGTACAATCCAATTCTCTTTGGAGTCGAGAATAGGGGGAATGTGACTCCTTGGGAAAAGAAGATAGGGGTAAGGTTAAAATTGTGCGTGGGCGAAGTCTGCTACGACTTTGCTAGAACTGTAAGCCGTGAAGAAAATGTAAAACATATATTAGAAGCTGGCATATCATTTCATCTACAAATTTTTATCTATCGGTCCAGCTTCCACAAAATCAGATGAAGAAATCTGATCGTTTTTCCATATAAAGAGGAGACCCTAACAGTAATATGGGAGCCGGAGGCATATTTAGGTCACATATCGAACATATACGTGAGAGTAATTTTAAATAATAGATAGGTTTCGTCTTACAATTTAAGTGTATGACTGGCTGTTTTAATGTGAAGTGAACATCCTGAAAATTTGTTTTGAAGTTTAGGCGAAAATTTTATGAAATCGTCATCTAACTTACAAATCGAACGTATTTACGGTTTTTCACATGATTTGATTTCTTATATTCAACGAAAATCGATCGTAGAATTATGACAGGTGGTTACTGTTGAAAAGAATACACGTGGAGTGTATCAATCAGATGCTAACTACGAAGTTTCAAAATGTTTAGCATAAATAGAATAAAAATTCAAAATTCTTAAGATGATTTTTTGCACTAACAGTAGAGATATACTCTTAATAGGTATGTTTAAAGTGGATGGAACGAAAAAATCAACTTTTTGTTTCAACAAAACACAAAAACAAACTTAAATAATACTTTCTTTTTTTTTTTACAAACAGAGTAAAAATTAATTGAAATTTATTGAATATTACACGAAATCAAAGTAATGGCGGTAAGTGCCATGCAAGTAACGTTTTGTATCGATCAAATAATACTGTATAAATTATCTTTTTGAATAAAACATACAATTTTATAACCACATAAAAATATTGTATTATCCTAACTACCATTCCATGTGATCAATATCTTCCACATCTCACAGCCATTTATAGTTAACAGTTATTTATATTAATTTTAATTATTACATGGAATTCGATTAAACTAATACTAGGAATTTTTCATACTATACTCCAAATTTCCTCTAAGTTTCGGCCAAATCGAACGAGCGGTTTTCATTCAAACTATAGGCCTGTCAAATAATACTCTATGAGAGCGGAACTATTTTTTTTTTTTTCTGGGAGTAGTAGATTTGATAAAATTCATACATACTTGATTATCTGTTTACCAATCACTAACTTTCCTCAAAATTTGAGCCTAACGAACCTGGTTTTTTAGAGATATATACATGTTAAGGAAAACACGTTTGCAAATATATATGAGAAAGTAGTTGAAAGAATTCAATAAAATTGATACTACATTGTTGTTTTACTAACTAACTTCTTTTTCCAGCATTGGGTTAAATCGAAGGAGCGGGTTCTGAAAAATTGGCTCATCTAAAACAATATGTTTGCGCGTGCGGAAGCGAAAGTGTTAGATGGAATTTAATTAAATTTATATGGGACCATCTTGACACCAACCTTCTCAATCCAGACAGTTATCGAACCAAATTTGATCCTTGATGTCAGAAATGTAAAACGGAAGTGAAAATTTTCGATTCTGAGCACAAATTTTGTTTTAACCTCTCTCACGAATACAAAGCTTCCTGGTACAGTAAAAAAAAAAAAGTAAGTACAGGAAAAAATTTGCTGATCTTTAAGCCAGCCGGATCTGCAATTTTACATTCGTCCCGTAGGAAAGTTATGGTCATTTGTGAGAGCATACCGTGCGCGTTTGTTGTGTTCGGTTAAATTTTAATGCCATACGTCTTGTTAGACTCTATATTATACTAATTAAAAAGGCCAAAAAATATTGTATTTTTTTATGATTGGTATATGTTTATATGCTGTGTGTTTTATATTAAATTCTTGCCAGAATCGTTGTTATTTGTTATTATTTGTTATTTATCTCTCGAGCTATGTCACCCTCAATTGTTAAGAACACATTTATTACTTATGTATGACAGCAACGTAATATGCGCTTTAAAAAAAAAGTCAATTACAGTGTAAATTGTAAATAATTTACAATAGTTTATATTCACATTTCATCGTTTCAATTAGCAAGCTTTCTTCCGAAGTAATTATCATTATATATATAAAAAAAAGTTTTCAGCTAAAGCCCCTTCCCCAACTCAAAATTAAATTCTGGTTCCGCTACTGTCTTGTATGTTTTATCAAAATCATTTATCATATTTACAACATTCATCCAGTAGGGGGCGGGGTGGCCGAATGGGCCAAAGCGTGTGCACTGCACCGCGAGTTGCCTGGCAACCGGATAAGAGATTTGAGAAGATTAAAAAAGTTTGAGTTCGCATCCCGGTGCCGGAGGGGAATTTAAATTCCCCGCCCTCTCACTCCGGCCCAGGTAAATCCCGTATAGCCTAAAAGGCGAGGTAGGGAAGAAAAAAAAACAAAAAAAAAAAAAAACATTCATGCAGTACATTTACAAGGAGAAGTCACTGTTAGTGGATCACCGATTTCAACCATTTTTATTTTTCAGTTTTTCTATATAGAAAAAATATTGTACATTTATCTCGTAATTTTTCGCTATCATTCTAATGGTTTTTAAAAAATATATATAATTTCATGCAAAACCCTTCAAGAAAATCCACATTATATTTAATTAAACGATATTTCAGTTTATTAAAAAATATTGTTATCACTAAAAGATATACCGGTTTAGTAAGTAATGATGTTTTAATAAAATGATATATCAGTTATCCAGATATCTTTCGTTTTTGTTTTGAAATCCTCTGAATACCATGTTTTTATTATGTAGTATTTAAAAACTAAGATTAATAGTATTATAAATGAGTAGGAAATTATTTTTAAAAATCTGTTCAGCGCTCGACTTTTGAACAGATTTATTAAAACTAGTGTTCGTTAACTGGTCGAAATTAGACCATAATCATTATTGAACATTTGAGGAAAACTAAATGAATTTTCATGTTTCTAACATTTTGTTTTCTACTCTTATATGTTCGTACATTCACTTTTATATGTATGTACTCATAAAAGAAAACAGTGCAGAACTATTTGTGTATTTATTGGTATATAAAAAGTAGTCCTTCATTACTTCCCTTTACTCGTTCGGTTAGAATTTGAGGCAATATTATTTTTCGATTTCTATAGTAATATTTGATTTATTTAAAAATTCGTATTTGATGGTTTTACTAGGTGCGAAATACCAATCTCAATTTGATTTCTCCTTAAAAACATATTTCAACCACTCCATCGTTCGATAAAAATAGTTTCATTTCATTGTACTTATACTATAACAATATATTATAATACAATACATTATAATATAATACATTAATACATAAATATCTAATCGGATATAATTCTTTGCGATTTCGATGATTTGTTTTTCCAATTTGCTTGAAATTCAGCAAGATTTCAAATGAATATAGGTTTTATGAACCAAAATTATGCATTTTTTGAGTTATTAGGCAATAAAATTCAGAATCAATCGATACTTTTTCAGCTTTTTTTTTTTTGGGAAGTATGTTCATAAAGAAATTAAAAGCGTTTCAAGAAGAAAACTCATTAAAATCGTTACCACCATTTTGGTACTGTAGTCTATAATCGACTCATGTTTTTCGGACGCTGTTTCAAAACGAAAAGTCGGATGGTAATGTTATGTTTATAAAACACCTCTATGAATTTATTGAATGTTGTATCAAAAATTCAAAGCAATCGGTAAAGATCTTTTTGGGATTGGCGGTGTCTAATATAGAAAACAGTTAAATATAAAATATGAAAGAGTTTAATAATTAACTAAAGGAGAAACAAGAGATCGTAACAGAGAATATTTGTAATGAAGGAACCACAGTGACACGAGCTCACCCGAGCTCGTCAAAGATTATTTTCCATAGTAACATGAACTTAATGTAATACGGACTCCGACAATATTATGTACATAAACATATGCGGTATTGCTAAATATTTTTGTTCAGAACACGCCAAGTATGTGTTTCAGATTCATATGTCTGAATGGATTTATTTTTTAATAAACTTTAAACAGTAGATTAACTAGCTTTTAATAAATACAATATTTATTAAAGCTTTAATAGCTTTTAATAAATTCATGCCCTTATTGTAAATGCTTAATGTGGTATCACGCTAAGCAGTCGGCACAAATTTTGAATGAACGGTAAAGAACCTGTCTGTGCTAACGTGCTAAAGTGTTTATAGTCAGTGAGGTTATGCCTGTACTTTTCAATTCTTTATTGAGAAATATTACAATCTGTCACATCTAAGGAAAATAGTAATAGTGACAGAAGAGTAGCTCATTCAGACTCTACGTACAATAAATAATAAAGCAAAATAATAGTACTAAAAGTAAATGTATATAAACTAAAAAAAAACTAAACTAATCAAAATAGCTACTTAAATGCAAACATGCTTTCATACAATAATGTCTGTACTTTAAACAAAGTTCGTGAGTTATTAATTGATCTCCTAACGTTTTGATTTATTTTCAAATGCCAAAGAGAAGAGAAAAGACTGAGTAGCTGGATTATTTGGTTAAAAATGCTTTATTAGAAAGCATGGACGAAGATTCAGAAGGCAAAGAACTTGATGAATTCATAGATAAAACCCAAGCTGTCTTTATATTCCATTTACAGGTCCCTAAGCTGTGTTAAAATCGAGAGTGCTAGTGGCCATATTTAATACACATTTCGTAAATAATTTTCTTGACTTTACACATTTCAGAGGTTTACAATACTTAGTACTGGTTGCACGAATACCCCTAATGTCAGTCCCCTAATGTCAGAAAAGAAACAAACATAATTTTATAATTTTACTAAAAGGAAAAACATTGAATCAAAATGGGATTTAGTAAAATAGAGGTTTATTTATATGAATAGTGCTATATTACCCGGGCTTTTTCTAGCTGACTGAGCGCTTGCCTCTCCTTCTCACGCCGAAGCGTTTCCTTCTCTTCGTCCAGCGACAAGTCTGATGATGGATGTGAATAGTTAGAATCTGCTGAGCCCTAACCAAAACAAAAACATATTAGACATGGTCAAATAATTTCATTAAAACTTAAATAACGAAATCATTAAAAGAAAATTAAAATCCTACTAATTATTAATTCAATTCTATTCATAAAATATTCAAAAGATTTTTCTTACAAAAAGTTACTTTGAAATATAAACATGAAACTGAAAAATACAATTAAGCTAATTTCAAAATTCTATGTAGCTCGATAATTTGATAAGCCTTAGCAATATTGGAATGTTTTATTTACTTAAATTTGTAGACTGCTTAACTACTCATTTAAATTTGAATTAAACTTAAGTATAGTAATTGAAGTTATACCTACAAGAGTAATACTGCTAATTAGATAGCTAAGGATAAATATTCTATTATTATTTATGCGTGATGCTGGGTATGGAACATGCATAGGAAAGTCCAGCAACTACACATGCTTTTTGAGTTGTTAAATGTTCTTACCAGTGATGTGTACTTGGACATAAGTTAACAGTTCACACCAAGAACTTAAGAATGCAGCATGCAAGACACAATAACGGGTAAACATATAGAGAAATATAAATAAAAAAAAATCTTTATAAAATTCAAATCCTCGTATTAAATAAAATTATATGATAAGAAATTACAGGAGTTATATGGTTAATGGATCAGATTTATTTATGAAATTTCATACGATTTAGAAATAAAGAATTAGAAATTAACTACTAATACATACTTGCTTTGGACTACCTAAATAGAATAAAATAAATACAAAATTTTTAGTCGTTCATAACTCTTTAGAAGTATAACAATTTAAATAGAAGTATAGAATAAATGTTTAATAATTGATTTATTTCTACTATGAGAGTTTGACAAAAGTAATAAAATTGTCATAAAAGAAGTGTTTATTTGGAAAATATAAATTTTAATAAATATCAACAAAAAGAGAAAAAAAGGAAAAGAAAGAATAGAAAGATGCTACCAAATTTAATTGAATAAACCTAAGCTATACTGAATTAAAAAACGTAAATAAGAAACCATCGTTGAAAAATAGAATTGTTTTAAAAGAAATAATATTAAATAAATGACTTTATTGAGAATCAAGAAAATTATCGATCACAATTATACAAAAATAATTTATAAAAATTAATCACTCTATCACACCAATAAATAAATCAATAAATTAGCGGTTGTTGATTCCATTTTGTAAACTCAATTATATGATGACAAAGAACTATTCAGGAAGACAATTTTTGAAGAATTTGAGTTTACAAACTACTATAGTGATAAGAAGGGAATACTTTGGATTAAAAATTATTTAATATTCTCGGATCAATTATCTAAACAATCTTTTATAAATGACATAGAAGATGCCTCCTTTACTTTATTTCACCGGTAACTATTGATCAAAAGCCTAATTTTAATAAAGACAAACACATATCTATATTTGAATGGCTAGTCAAAATCGATTAATTTTGTTATTGTGAAATATAATTTAAATTTAGTTAAAATAAATAAATAAATTGAATTATTATTGGTTTCTAGCTAGATATAAGAATCACCTTGAAACATTAGATAGATAAATAATATAAAATTATTAAAATCTTTATTGAGTTTTATGACAACATAATTGGAGGCAATACCTAATAATAAATACGGCAATTTTTGTGCTCAATTTTAAATTAATTTTTCTCATACAGAAGAGTTTAGCACTTTCTTATGATAATGAATGATTTCTTAAAATAATGAAGCCTCGTTCTAAGATGGTTTACTGATATAAAATAAATTCATCGATATCCATCGATATTTATTTCTTAACTTATATAACTTATTCTTATAACTTATAACTTCGATAGTCGCTGTTCGATCTGTTACATCGATGTATATTTTCTACTCGTAGCCTTTAACCATTAGATTAGCCTTTAAATTTCGTTTTGCTCAGTTTTGTGAAAAAATGAAAGATATTGAAAACGTTATGAACGATCAATAATGTAACAGTTATAAATTTTGTAGGCAGTAACAGTTAACCTGTCGAACGTATCACACTCGTTACTTCATGGTGCCGTCGATTTGATCTCATTACTTTCTTCGGTGAATTTATTTAAAGTATTTATATGATTTGTGTTAAACTATAATTTATATAAATCAGGCAGCTCTCAACACTAATTGATATTTGGTTCATTCATAACATTGAACATTACTTATTAATGACTTTGTAAAAAAACAATAATAACAGTACTTATCGACCCCGATACAGCCAACAATCGTTGCCTATTCTTTTAGTTCTATATTTTAGTCTAAATATTTAATTTTATCTCTTCTAATTATAACCTAGCCTTATAGCTTGTTAGAATGCTCATGTGGTTGTATATGATGATTTGAAATATACCATGGTACTTTACCAATTTTGGATCGTATTAGTATTTCGTTTGGGAAGATGTTTTTTGCTAAAATACAGAATTCTGTCCGCTACACATTGGGGCGAGCGTACAGGTTCCTTGGATTTGGATTTGGATCAAATTTTGCCTGTTTGTTTTTGAGGATGGTAAGTTTGAATTCAAGCCATTTGGTTGGCAAGATGATATATTTTATCATCATTAAAAGATGATAATTATAATAAATGATAGTAATAATTAATAAAATATTAATTTACTTCATCATAAATATGAAATATTATATTTAACCTAGCACGCTGCACACTGCTGTAGCACTACGATCTTCTAGTATAAAATAACTATTAATTAATTTAAAACATTTACATTTATTTTTTTTAGGATTTCATAAAATTAATTATTACTCACTTTCAGATATACTTTTTGGACCTTAATGCATGTTTATAATTTGATATAAAATGATCATTTTAATTTAACAAATGTTTTTTATAATATATTAAAAGAGCAATTAATAACATATATTAAACATATAGTTAGAAATTCAGGTAATGTCCTCCTCCCCAAATAAAGATGTTATTAATTTAATTAGTAAATGATTAATTATTTATAAACCTAAATCGCTTTGCTTAAGCTAAACAAATTTAAAAGTATTATAATGATAAATCTATTTAAATGTCCAAATCAATTTCATCAGCACTTCTATCACTTGCATTGTTACTATTATCTTGGAACTTGGAATAAGTTCTCTTAGATATTTATTATGGTTATGAAGATTGAATTTACTTCGTGCATAGTCGTGGAAGATATCATGGGGTTCCTGATTACTACTATTAATTGCTTCGAAGTATCTTTAATAAATTTTAAGGATTTAATTTAAAAGTGCTATGTTTCGATACAGAAAAGAAAAATATATAAATAGATAGTATGGAAAATTATGGAATTGAATTGGGCAAATATTTAAAATACGCGACAAACAGTAAAAGTCGTCACATGTTTCGAAAACATCATAGATTTTTACTATTTTTATGCGTAATCTTTGTCTTAAATTTCTACTTAATTCCAAAAACATTTATAAATCGATCCATGGTTCAAAATCTTAACTTAATGGTGTGAAATTTATTAATTGTCCAATTTAGCAATCAAATCAGTTTACTTTTTTTGCCTTCAAATCTTAATCCATATCTTTCATGAATTTGACAATAAGCAAGTGAGTTGTTTCGGGGAGTTTGTAAAACGGCATTTTAAGCATGAGGAAGGATATTAATCAGTATCACATCTTCCTGTTCTTTATTTGCTTCCTTAATTCAGGAAATTTTTCATCGAGCTCATTTATATCAGTATACTTTATTATTAAAAAACGGCTTTCAACTTTCAATTTTACTATCAAGTTTACTCATAATATTTGTTTTTGCTTCGATTATTTCTTATTTCCCTAACTACACTGATTTATAAACACGTTTGGTGTCCTTTCTATAAAAATATTCACTATCGATATTTTGGGTATTGTCCGGCAAGATTATCTTCATTTCGTTTACTTAATGAATGATGAAGGTAGTTCGATAATGTAGTAATGTAGATTGCATCGTAATAATTAGAAACAATGATCATCTATAATAAATAATTAAAATAAATAAAAAAGTCAACAAGCAACTCTAAACGACTTAAGCCTTTATATAGACAAATATATAATGTTTCAGTGACGAACGCTAAATTCTGAAAAGAAATGACAATTCATTCATATTGTATATCCATTATTTTAGGAATACATTCTTCAAATAACAGTGAAAAGAGCCATTCTTTATGAGTCCACTTTTGTGTAGAATAGAATTTTAACTCGTTTAAATAACTAATATGAATTCAATAGAAATAAAGGCTTCATAAATTGCAATGTAATTTGTCTCCAAGAGAAATGATGGGAAATTTTGGCCTTATGTGGCACACTCCGAGTTTCATTCCAACCAACCGTACGTTTTAAAGTGCAAAGAAATGCTTTAAAATAAAGTATAAAAATCATCACTAAATTAATATTTTGAAATTTCAATATTATTAAATATAGGAAAAAAAAAAATTATGAACACAAATAATAGTAGGTATATTTTAGCTATAATAAATAGGTGAAAGCTGTAGATAACAATGGAATAACCTTCCGCCAAGGTACTTACATATTGTAATTTAATTATTTAGCCCGAAGATAGATGAAATTAAACAGTTTCACAATTCAGACTAGGTAAATAAATGTTAAATGATCACTAAAGTCTGCTCAATTTGATCTATCTTGTTGTAAATATTTTTAATAAACCTTAAATTCAATCGAGTATTGTTATAAACCTTGTAAATGAACGAAATATTCACATGTTATTAGAGAACTGACTCAATATGGCAGCATTGTACCAGGATTTTAATGTGTTAATTATTTTAATTATTGCAAAGTTATATACTTATTAATAAATTTTAGATTTGTTCTCAATTATTTTTACTGTGTTATTATTTATCTTACTATGTAATACTTAACTTTTGTTCCTTTGTAGACAAATAAATTGTAATTATATATCTACTTACATTAGAGTATGTTTATTATTGCCTATAAAACTGTGATTGCATATATGTATTATTTTTAATGTTCTAGAGA